CCCGTGCCGACTGGTACATTTCCAGTCTCCTGCAGTCTGTGCACACCGGTAACATCGTTCCCCTTTCCTTCCCTCTTCTCCATTGAGGGCAATGTCGATCTTAAGTGTGGGGGGGATGTTTATCTTTTGACTGCATTAGATCTGTTTGTGTGCTTGGAGCCTAGTCCACTGTCCAAATTTTTAAATTTGAGGGCTCCAAGTGCGTGTTCCTTGCAATTGCCTGCTCAGTATGCTTTGAATTGACAGTCTCTGTAGTGATTTGCAACCTAGGGAGGTAGTGTAGGGAGGTAGTGTAGCACTATGGAGGATGTTGATGCATTTAAGAAGTCTCATTTCTTCTTCATATTGTGTTGGTTGATTGAGTGAATTAGTGATCTTAGGACCCTTGAATTGTGTGGTGTTGTGGACTCTCTGCCTGTCATGGACTCTTGTATCATGTTTTGAAAATAACAGGTGCTCGAAAATGTGCTTTAAAATAACGTCTCCCGTGCGAATAGGGCGAAAGGGTGTAAGGGGAGACGGGAATCCGTTCCCAATTTCCACCTACTACCTCCAGCCCCCTTACATGTCTTTCCCCCGCACGAGGCTCGAGACACCCGCTCCTGGCATGGCCGGTAAGAGCCGGGCTCCCGCAAAACCTTTGCTAGGTGGGAGCCCCCGTATTCTGCAGAAACAGGTTGGAACCCGTGAAAAAGAAAAAAAGAAAAACAGAAAACAAGCAAAAAGAAGAAAGAAAAGGGTTCCAACCAAGTTCAAAAAGAAAATCGAGCACCTTGAATTAATGTGAGTCCATTATCTTTTGTTTTTGAGAGTCCCTTCATCCACGATTCATTTGTCCTCTGTTCACTATTTGCCATGAGACTGACTCGAGACTAGTGCTCTCGCCGAAGAAGCTATGAGATGACTTGTGCGTCGGTTGACCTCGTAAGTTGCTAAATGATCTAGGAAGTCCTCTACCGACGATCGAGGTTGTTTGTTGCTATAGAGGTCTGGAGAGCTGCATTGGTTTGAGTTAGGTTTGCTTGGGGACAAGCAAACGCTTAAATGTGGGGGAGTTTGATAGACCGATAATTATACATGTTTTCACCCCCATTCTGGAGCCGTTTGAGATGTGGATTCTAGCGTTTTAAGCCGATTTCACGCTAGGGTATGTGTTTATGTCATATTTCAGGTCCCGGCGTTGAAATCGAGGCGGAGAAACGAGTTTTGGGTCGAAAGGAGCGAAGTTGGGACAAAGTGAGCTGCAGGAGGAAAATACCCGGTCAGGTGGCCAAATACCCGACCGGGTATTTGCTGTTTTGGGCGCCCGAGAAGCAGAGAGGGGCACGGGCAGATGACATAAATCCCCGGTCGGGGATTTTGGAAAGTGACCGGGGATTTTAGCTTCACCAAAGCGGCGCGTTTTGCATATACCCGGTCGAAACCCAGAATACCCGACCGGGTATTTCGACCGGGTATCGCGACCAGGCAGTCAATTTAAGGAGAAAGAAGGCCAACATTGAGGGGTTCCGAGTTTTTGAGAGAGAAAGCGATAACTAGAGAGAGAAAGCGACGAACCAGAGTTCCCAAGCGTCACAGATCGATCTTCATCACCATTGGAGCCCGGCTTGAGCTTGGAGAAGTGCGATTAAACGTCCAGGAGCAGAAATCCATCTTCACAGTATGATTTCCGCGTCTGAATCTGCTTTTGCTTCTTTCTCTATGGAGTAGTTCCCCCATTCATCTGGGTATGGGGAACCCTAGATTTGTATGCTAGGTCTGATTGTATGAACCCAAGTACAGAGTTTGTGAATTGATTATATTCGATTGAGGTTTGAATGATTGAATGACTTGAATCCTGATCAAATTCCTGTTGTTTCTGCTTTGACCTAGAATGAGAATATCTGCCTAGGTTGATAGAGTATCCTTAATCGAAGGTGGCGAATTGGTGACTTTAGTCGAGGAGCCAATTCGCTATTCTGTACCGAATTCAATTCGGTAGTGGAGGTTTGGTTCATTAGGGCCTCAATCTGTTTACTCCGGTGGAGGTTAGTCGCCCGCTAGAGACTCAGATTGAGAGGGTCTGAAGACCTTTAGTCGAGACTTCGGACTAGTCAAGAACCTTCCGCAGTATAACTTTCATGAAAAAACTGAACTTGGTAAATTGCAATCCGACTTAGCTGCAGTCTAGGGGGAACCATATCCGGGTGACCTCTCTTGACTTGACAACAACCGTTTACTTGCTTTGTGTTTTTGTTTGCTTGAGTTGCACTAAAAGTTCACTGCTAAATAACGAGAATTCACCGAGTAGTCATCACATCTAGGACCCGGGTTGACAATAAAACCCAAACCCGCTATACTACGCTTTAGGAAGTGGTTACACTTGGCCATTTTCTAGAGTGACAGTAGGAGTGAGTCACCTGCCTTAATGCGTCAGTTTCATCAGCAATATGAGGAATGGGTTCGTCTGCCGATGGATAAGGTTCTCCAGCCTTCGGCCCCGGTGGGGGAAGGTATAGGGCTAGGCGAGACTGGGGGGTCGTTTGTATGTGGGATGGGGCGATTCGGTCAGGGTCGCATTCGGCTGGTGGAATTGTCCTGTTATCCCCTGCTCGAGAGGTCCTTCTGGTCAAGGGAGTCCAGTTCCCTCTATTGGGGGATCCGATGACGGTGGAGCTATTGGTCCTTAGGGAGGCGGTCTCATGGTGGCTGGCGAATAGCTTCACTAATGTCCTATTTGAAGGGGATGCGAATGTGATCATTGATAAACTCAACCAAGGGGATGCCAGAGACAATCGGGTGGGTGCTGTTTTGGAGGAGGTCTTGCAGTATTTTCGCATCCACCCGGGTTTGAGGGTTCGATTTGTAGGTCGGCGTAGTAATAGGGTAGCCCATATGGTGGCTAGAAAAGCCCTCTCTTTGTACCCGATCATGAATCATGGCTTTAATTTTCAGGCCTGGCTGAGCTCCAGGATGTAACTATCTTTTTTGGTATCAATACAAGCAATGCAGTCAAAAGCGTAATTCCACCTAGAAGCGGAAAATGACAAAATCGTAAAGCGTAGAATCAAAGCGCAAAAGCGTGAGTTTTTACGCATAGGGTAAAATAGCTAACAACGTGTTAAGTACGACATATACTACATAAAATATGAGTGAACATAAGTTAGATAAGTTAATAAATACCTGCAATTAATGTCTAAAGTAGAGCAACTCATAACATTTTAACAATAAGTTCGTATTAACAATAAACTACCTTCCCCTCTATGCTAATGAATTTGGGAAGGGCCTAGCTGGTGAATTAGATTACTCTATTGAAGTTAAGAATGAATCCAAGTACCTGGTATGTATCTTCTAATCTCAAATGTATCATATTGTTGGCGATTTACCTTTAAAATATACCTTTAAAAGGAATTTCATGAATATAATACCAATTTAGTGAACTAGAAGCATAAAAGCGTAAAGCGTTTTGGTGAACTAGAAACACAAAAGCGTAAGCTTTTAAGTTTTAGAGCGCAATTTAGTCCGATTTTATATACTATATATTTTATATGGAAATGAAAGCGGTTTGGTGACCTAGAACCGTAAAATCGTAAGCTTTTAAGTTTTATAGCGTGATTTTGACTGCATTGAATACAAGATTATCTTTTGTCAAAAAAAAAAACACATTTCTCCTAATTTATCCTTAGCCTTGACTAGTGCCGTTAATGAGCTGAGTCGAATCGAGCTTTGTCATAGTTCAGGCTTGGCTCGTTAATGTATTTCCAAGCTCGAGTTCGGCTCGTGTTCGTCACAAGCTTTAATATGCAAGCTCGAGTTCGAGCTCGGCTCGTTTATAAAAATGAAAGTTCGAGCTCAGCTCGTCAAATAAGCTTATCGAGCCCCATATCGAGTTCAGCTCATAAAATGTTCATGATAGCTCAAGATTGACCTAGAACTGAGCACAAAATTACATTCAAACCTGTAACAAAGTCTAGCAAAGCAACACACAATATTTATCCCAATTTCAACACATAAAATCCATGAATTCTAATTCTTTTTTATGCCAAACCATTAAATGAGCTTGTTCACGAGCTTTGGAGCTGAACATGGTATGGCTCGAGTTTGACTCGTTTAGCTAACTAGCTTGTTCGCGAGCCAACTCGATTAAAACGAATCAAGTATCAAACGATTTTTTCTCGAGTCGGATGCCGAGCCGTTCATCAACGGCTTGTTTCATGGTTCATTAACAGCTCTAGCCTTGACCACCCATAAAAGTAAAAAGTTATGTAGAAGCTTGTACAACATTTTCTCAGAATTTTTATGACCTTCTGCACCAAGGAAGTTACGCAAAACAAAACCCTCTCCAGCTAGATAATGCACAGGTCAAAGTTGTAAGATTCTCTTATAATCTAGAAGTAATCAATTAAAATGTATGTTCGATCTGAAATCTAGAAGAAGAAAAAATATATGATTGAGAACAACATTACTGGCTCAAGCTATGCTTAAAAAGTAAGCACATGGAGAAATAGTGGGAAAAAAAAAAAAGAGGATATTCCACAATTAAGTCCATTTGTCTATACCATGGTCAACTGGCCATCTGGCAAACAAATAATATATATTTTTTTTCTTATTATCCACCTGTATTATTATCATGACAATAAACTAACTTGACAAATTTGAAATAAACACTTTTAATTAGCAAAAATGCGTTCAATATTCATATGTTATTCACGGCTCTTAGGTACTTTGCCTCCTAGTTTGTTATTATAAAGTGGGATTTGTTGTTATTTTCGTTTGCATGAGTGTTAGCCACGAATGCTTGATAATTTTGAAAAGAATTAATTTGGTATTTGGTATATATGTACTAATATGTAACAAAGTATTAAGAATTGAGATTGAGATATCTAATTTATTTTGAAATTAATATTATTTAATATTTAAAGATTTCAGTATTTGATATTGGGTTACCGACCGACCGTACTATATTAAGACAACCAGGCCATAAAAGAACTAAATAGGGCTAGAGGCATGTTGGTGTTTGGCTTACGTTTAAACATGACGTCATTAAATGCAAAACGTGACAATAGCATGAATACGATTTTATTGGCAAGGAGGAAGCCATTAGAGCCACTGAACCAGGCACATAAAACACAGATTCAAGGTGTCCGGCCCCCACAGCACATACTAATTAACGGAGACTAGTGTCCCTTTGAGACCCCATTAGGGCTAATTTCGCAATCGGCGGCGGGGTTGTGGAAGCAGAGGCGCCGGCAGAGCTTGATGATGATCCACCGCCACCTCCGCCGTGCACTTTCATTCCGACGATTTCGATGGAAGTGGAGGTGGCGGAAGTGACGGTCTTGGCGATGCTCTTGAAGATTTGAGCCTTGATCTGGCCTCTCTTGGGTGGGAGAGAGCAGCCGCTCTGTTTCGTCTTCTTGCTCTGAGGATCCATCGACTAAACTGTATCTGCAACGGAAATAGATTCAAAGAGGGAAACAAAATTCGGACAGAAAAAATGGGTTGTAGTCGTAGTTCTGATGAAATCAAGATATCGTTGTAAGAGACTGAAAGAGAAGTGATCGTACTCTGTGAGAAGAAACAGAGAGGCTCTGTTTTGGGGAAAGAAAGTAAGGAGTGAAAGAGAAAAGAAAGGCAGGGGGGTAGGTATGTATTAGTATAGGATGTGGAAGTAATTAATAATAATAATAATATAGTTGTACTTTGTTTTATTTGGGCGGTGTTGTGATCAGTCAGTCCGTTGATAGAAAGAAGGGATAAAAGAGGACGAAGTAGAGGAATTTTGCTTCTTGCCCAAGCTTTCAATCTATTGGTAGTTTATAGCCTGTGTTTGTTTCAGTTTGTGAAGTTACTTTATAGGTTTGAAATTTGAACAGTTTGATTATAACATGTGCGTTTAATCTATTGGTAGTGTATTGATTTGTTTGTTTTAGGATTTAGAAATTTGTAGAGATCGGACATATCGTCTGCAAATCAGTGGATAATGTTAGGGGTTTTTGTAAGGATTTGAACATGTGACATCAGGATCAAACCAAATGTTAGGGGTTAGTATAATTGTCATAGAACACTTGCAAAAATTTTGGATTATATACCCCGTATGTATACTTGTGTAAAAAAATGGAACCTATCACCTTGAGATTGGTTAAGAATGTTTTGTGACTGCACTACACCCTTATTCCTTAATCTTAAATTGGCACTTAAGAGGCTCTGTTTTGGCGAAAATGTCAATTTATTGGCGAAAATGTGTTTTGAGTTGGAATTCATTAGAACAAGATGCCTTGTAAATCAAGATTACTGCATCTGGCTCAAGCTTTGCTTAAAGTAAAGCTTCGAGAGTAGAAAAAACAGAACAAAAAGTTACCATACCATCATATGATTTATTGCCATGGCGGCCCAAAAACGATGATTAGGCCTCAAACACAGGAATAGTACAAATAAACATAACGAAAAAAGACCAAAACCCTCTTGCGATGTACATCATCCATGGAAGGACAGAAAAAAAAAGCACTTCCGAATGACAACCTCGAATGACAGGGAGTGATCGCAAGAAGAAGAAGAAGAAGAAGAAGAAGAAAGGCACGCAGGGATAATTAGGAAGGGACTTGATGAAAAAAAGAAAGCCCATGGTCCATGGCACCGGTGAATATATGACCATAAAACAACATCATTCACGGTGGCGGCGTAACATTTACTTAATAAGCTAGGCGGCGGAGAGTTTCACGGTGGTGGTTGGGCTCGGCGGCGGGGTTGTGAAAGCAGAGCCGGCGCCAGAGCTTGACGACGAGGATCCACCGCCGCGCGGTTTCATCCCGACGACTTCAACGGCCTTGATGGCGGCGGAAGCGACGGTCTGAACGATGCTCTTCAAGATTTCAGCTTTGATCTGGCCTCTCCTGGGTGGGAGAGACCAGTCGCTCTTCTTCTTCTTCTTCGTCCTCTCAGAAACCATCAACTGTATCTGCAACAAAAATAGATCTTCAAATGGTAACCAAAAAGGTACGAAATTCAGCAGAAATTCGACAGTTTTCAGGGAAGAAATCGTTATAAGAAACTAAAATGAGAAGTGGGTACTCTGAGAGAAGCAACCGGAAATGCTCTGTTTTTGGGAAAGACAGGAGGCAGGGCTCCCTCGGATAAGAAGTAAGGAGTGAGGGGAAAGAAAGGCGCGCGAAGCATATATGTATAGGGAGAGGGGAAGAAGGAAGGAAGGAAGGAGGTTTCATTAATGAGGATAGTCGCTTTATTTTGTTTGGGCGGTGTTGTGGTTAGTTCGTATATGGAAAGAGGAGATAAGTCATGAGAGCAGAGGAAGATGAGGACGTTGCTTCTTTTGCCCAAGCTTTCACTCTATTGGTACTTAGTAGTCTTTTTGTCTATGGGTGTGTTTATTTCGGCAGCTTAAACAATTGATTATGTTCAAGTTTGGTAGAAGCTAGGAAAATTGTGTGTTTGGTTGGCTTTAACAAGATTAACTTAAAATGGGTATGTGTTAGAAGGAGGAGTAATACCGCCAAGTTTGAATCAAACAATGATCCCTAAGAAGAAAAACCCACATAGCCAGAAGGATTTTCGCCCCATTAGCCTATGCAAAGGGCTCTATAAAATCCTATCTAAGGTGTTGGCTAATAAACTTAAAAAGGTGTTAAATGCAGTGATAATTGGAACTCAGAGTGCATTTGTCCTGAGAAGAAACATTACTGATAACATTTTACTGGCGTTTGAGTGCTTTTTTGCCATGAAAAACAGAAAAGAAGGGAAGAAAGGGTATGTTGCTGCAAAGTTGGATATAACCAAAGTCTACGACCGATTTGAATGGTCGTTCCTAGAAGCTATTATGTTAAAACTCGGGTTTGATGGAAGATGGGTGAATCTAATTATGCAGTGTGTTACCGCAATTAGCTATTATGCACTAATAAATGGCCACCAGTCTCCAGTAATCAAGCCAACATGAGGACTGAGACAAAGAGACCCAATCTCCCCGTATCTCTTCCTACTATGTGCAGAAGGCTTGTCTACTATAACAAAGAAGGCGGTGGAGCAAGGAGAACTACATGGCATTCATGTGAGCAAAGATGGTCCAGAACTAACCCATTTGTTTTTTTGAAGATGACAGTATTTTCTTTTTTGAGAATACTCCGAAGGAGGCAGCAGTACTAAAGAAGATACTTAAGCAGTATGAAATGGAATCTGGCCAGCAAGTTAGCCTTGAAAAATCAGAACTCTCCTTCAGTAGCAACACTAAAGAGGATCAGAGGAATCAAGTGGTGGCAGTCCTAGGAATGAAACAAGTTGCTTATCACGATAAATACCTCGGACTGCCAACAATCATAGGAAGATCAAAACAGGCAGTGTTTAGCCAACTGATTGACAGAGTGAGAAAGAAGATCAAAATGTGGAAAAGTAAACTACTTTCTACTGTTGGGAAGGAAGTGTTGATTACATCCGTGGCTCAGGCACAAGCAAACTATGTGATGTCTGTTTTCCTAATCCCACAAGGAGTGCTTCACGAGATACAAAGTCTTATTGCTGGGAGAAGTTGTGCCGTCCAAAGCATGAAGGAGGAATGGGTTTAAGGATCTACATGGCTTTAATCTTGCGCTATTAGGAAGACATGTATGGAACTTACTCAAAAATCCTACCTCCCTAGTAGCAAAAGTTTTAAAGGCTAAGTATTACCCTTATTGCTCAATCCTAGAAGCTCAGATTGGTAACCATTCGAGTTATATTTGGTGATCACTGATGACAACTCAAGGTTTGGTTAAAGAAGGAACAAGGTGGAGAATTGGTGACGGAAAACAAACTAGAATATGGTGGGACAGATGGATCCCAGAAGGACCAGAATACAAAGTTGAAACGCGAATGAACGAGCTACACTGGGATGCTAAAGTGGAAATTTGATAGACAATGAAAGTAGAACATGGAAGAGCAACTTACTTCATACTTACTTTCAGCCTGAAGATCGAAAAATAATTCGACAAATTCCACTACTATCACACCCATTTGAAAACACAAGGGTATGGGGACCGGAGAAACTAGGGAGATACTTTGTGAAATCGGCTTACTATCTATGGAGAAGTAAAAGAGAGAACATAGCGGGGGAACGGTATATCCCCATCGACTGGAAAAAACTATGGTATCTGCAGATACCCACAAAAATCAGGGTTTTTATATGGAGGTGGGTCAGCAATATACTACCGATAGGTTCAAATCTGGCAAGACGAATTCAAGATGCGTATGATTGGTGTCCATTCTGCGGATTACTCGAAAGGCAAGAACACATTACCCGTGATTGTGACTGAGCAGGTAGAGTATGGCGACCTAGCTCGCTGAGCAAGATTTTCAGTCTGGGAGAGGGGAAATCTAGTGAAGAGTGGATTTGTGAAGTGATGGAGAATTCAACGGATGAGGATTTTGGATCGTTCGTAACAGCATTATGGTTTCTATGGAAGGAAAGAAATAATCACTTATTTAAAAAACCGAAGTTAGAAGAGTGGGAGATAATCGCAAGATTGGAGCAATACATGGAAGCATACAAAGCAGCTCAGGCAAAGAACACGAACCTAGTGACAAAAATGGAATACAAATGGGAGAAACCCAGAGCAGGAAGCTTTAAAGTGAATGTGGATGTCGCGATTTTGAAGGAAGGTGACACAGGCTTCGGCTTGGTGGTGAGAGACGGAGCAGGGATCTTTCGAATAGCAGCAGTCCACCAAACAAGAACCGCCTGGACGCCCGAAGTGGCTGAAGCGAAGGCGATATTCTGGGCACTGAATCTGAGCATCAATCACCATTATCGACATTTGCTAATTGAATCGGACTGTTTATCGGTGATACGGAAGATTTTGGAGGAGGACCGGACGGAGATGGAGATCGAGACTGTGTGTAGGGACATTAGAAATGCTATGGTGGAGGAAGGGGAGATTGGGGCTCGTTTCTGGGGAAGGAAGGGAAATGAGGCAGCTCACCTGATGGCCAGGGTGAGGTGTGGTTGGGAGGAGTCTGAGATATGGTTAGACCGACCCCCTGTCTGTTTGTAGTTAATAGTAGGAGAATGTCTATTTTTTATCCAATTTTTTTATATTCTTTTATATTTCAAACCTATTAAAATTCTATTAAGTAGCCAAATCTATCATAATACATCAAAATATTATTCATTTTTACGTTATCGTTAATAATTTTGTAACTCTTTTCTTAATTAAAATACTAAAATTTCAACCTTCATGTGTCTCTTCCTAGTCAGTATTACGTTGCCAAGTTAATATTAGTAACAAAATTGCTAACGGGAAGTTAACATTTGGCTAATTCTTAGTATTTCGATAGGTTTAGATAATACAAAAAATATGAAAAAATTGAATAAAAAATAGACATTATCCTTAAAAGAAGAATCAATAAAATAATTAATAGCATACAAAATTAAAAACATCTACACAATAATTAAAAGCCAAATGAGAAAACTTGAAGCCTCATTTCAAATTTCCTGCATCCAGAGTGAAAGTAGGAAGGACACTTTGGTCTTCACAATTACTTTTTTTTATTCATTAAAAAAACACTCACTACGATTCGAAACATGACCACTTTAAAGAAAAACAAAGATCATAATCAATCACACTAAGTACATTTGTTGTATATTTTTAAATTAAAAACATATATTCGCAGAGAGGAAAAAACCTTTCTCCCATTTCAAATTCCCTGCTCCAGGAGCGTTCGTAGGAAGGGTAGAATAGGGAGTGTCAATTTTTTTCATTATCCTCTGTGTAACGGGCCAACTTACCGTACACATGCAGATTTAAACGGATCTAGGAGTGTCAATTTTTTTCTTTAAGTCCTTTTATTTCTCCCTGGTGGTAAAATATATATGAAAAGGCAAAACAATACTCCTTTTTATTGCTAAAAAGAAAAAAAAATTAACAATAAACTAATGCATGGATTCTAATGGGCTAACCGCTAATCATAAAATAAAAGAGTTGAATAGGCCTGGCCTACACGGGATTTGCCCATCAAGTAAAACAAATGAACATCATGAGTTTGCCATTCTAAAACAAGCTATTTTCTCTAGCATAATATATATTATGCTATTATTTTATATCTTAGTGGCTAAAATATAATGTATTTTAAAGTTATTCAATGGTTCAAGCTCGATCAACCCAATTAGTCCAATTTTTCTCATTTCAAAGATATATTATGTAATTATTTGATATCATAATGATTAAATTATAGTGTATATTATAGGGAATCGTTTGGTATTTGTTAGTAAAAAACTAAACAGAAAGATCTATTTGGTTATTTTTAACATTAAAACGATCCTAAACATTTTCAGTTTCCTTTCGAAATTCTATATTTTTATTCCCGAATCAGTGATGTGGAAATGGCGAATTGCAGTCATCTCTTTTCTTTCATTATTTTTTTATTTTCAAATAGAAAGTTTAAAAGTAAAGAATAATTAGAGTTTGGCATGGGTCGGTCAAACATGCTGAATTTCAAGTTTTGGCCCGTTTTGATCAAGTCTAATTTATAATCACATGGTTCCCTGATACCCGATAAAAATCTCAATCCAAACCAGTTTGGCAGGTGAGTCCGTGTTTACCACCATTTTCTAGGGATACAGGAAATGTGGTTAATATCCCAAATCGTGTTGTTCATTCTTGATTTTTTTAGATTTTATCATGACTTGGCAAAAAACCAGAAAGCACAATGATGACAAGATGAAAGTTTTATAAAGCAAATTAATCAGCCAACGGGCCGAGTAAAAGCTAGCAACGATTGTGAGATGCTCATTTCCCGAAAACCGACGGGATATGCAATTTTTTATTCGATTTCAGAAATTCAATTTCTATAAAACTTTCTCCGCCTTATCATATTACCAGAAACAATATTGTTTCACAAGGTAACATGTACTTGATTTTGGTTCATAAGGCTGATTTTTGATTCGTTGCATCATTCATGTATTTTTCCTACTAAAATTCACTATTTTTATCACGTGTTTTCCAAAAAAAAACTATACAACAATAAGCTATACACACCATTATATTATCAAATTTCATACCTCAATTTCGCCGGGCCCACGCTGGTATTCAATTAAAGCAAAAAGGACTGTGAATGGCATGGCCGGTCGTACTTAATTAGTTGATTCAATTT